AAAAATTACAAACTTCTGTGAAACATATAAATGTAAATAGGAAACTGTCTTTTAATAAAGTATTTAGCAAACGAAACATGTCTATTGACCTTTTATTGTTTAGTTTTTTTTCTCTGTTACATCACATGCAATGCTTTCTTATTTTAGGATATTAATATTGACATGATACATTGTGAGACATTTGTTGTTGTTTTTATAAAGGGTGTCCAATTTGAGGAATAAGTACAATTATGTGTTTAGGTGGTTGAAGTATTGATGGAAACATGCAGTAGTTTAGTATTGGTTAAAATACCTTTAAAGAAAGGTAGATTTCCAGTCATGATTTAACTGTTTTAATAAAAAGCAACTGTGCGAAAGAGGTGGAAAATCAACACCATAGCTCAACAGTGTTTCAATATCAGAATCTGACATTGTTCCAATGTCAACAGTATTAGAAAATATAACATTGAATCAATGTCAGGTTTCAACATTGATTCAACATCAAAACCTGACGTTGTTTCAACGTTAAAAAAGGGTGCAAGAGTGACGTTAGGTCAACGTGACACCTCAACGTTGATTCAGTGACACAGCCTGATATTGACTCAACATTGTTTTAATGTTTCCTTGCTATCTGGGTGGTCTATGTGTACGTATCATAAACAAACAAAAACACAAAACAAAGAAACAAAAAACCCCAAGAGGATTCACCACAAGGTACAAACCAGATTTCAGTCTGAAGATAAAGGTCAGGATTAAACTTTGCTTAAAGATCAAAAAAAGCTGCATTAGTCCTATTTGGACAAATTAAACTAAAATCAACCTCCAACACAATGATGCATGGGCGACACTGGATCACTCGTGGTTATTGATGTTGTAGCTGAAGCCTGAAAGACTCAATCAGATCTAGGCAAACATAACAAAATTTGCCAGATGCGTCAAATCAAAAAAAGATTTCTGTGGAGGAAGGCGTCAAGCTCACGCAGAAACTCAATCATCTGTGAACTGGCAGCTTCACCTTTCCTTCTCACAGTGTCGATAACAAAACGAGCTCTATCGCTCCTGCTTTGCATTGCGTCTGCTTCCTCCCTGTCACCATCAACCATCAACCCTTTCTCCAGGAGTTTGTCGATCAGACTGCTGAGAACAGGTCCTGATATCCTATCAATGAATGAGCTCCTTACATTTAAAAGCCTCTTTTTTGGAGAAGCAGTCATGGATCTAACTCTGTTGGGCAAAAGACAAACCTCTCTTTCCCAGATACAGCTGGAGCTACCCTTGTGTGTCACACTCAGGTTAATATCTGTAATGATTGTTTTTAAAATCACCTGGAAGGTTGTGATGGAGTAGTTAGGATACTCCTCATTAAACTCTGCCTCATTTGGTTGAACTATAATCAGGTCATCGTCAGGAACAGTGGACAGAGTGTAAACCTGCTTTGGATACAGAATACATTTTGAGGGTACATCTATGTACATCTCTTCACCAACTAATTCCCTTCTCTGGTTTTTAACATCATGGATCACGATGTTCCTTGGCAACAACAATACGTTGAGGAAGGATCTGAGATTAAGTTCTTCTGGAGGTTTGTAGAAGAGCAGAACCATCGCTTGGACTGGTTCAGCGGGAGAGTTTTCATCCCTGACATTACCGTAACCAGAAAACCCTGTGATGTTTATAACAACATGAGTTTCTGTTATCTGATGAGGGGTGATAAACTCGATATCTTCAAGGTTATCCACATGAGCGACCTTCAAGAACTGACCTCCACCTGTGGAGATGAGCTCACAGTGTGGGAGACAAAGCTGACACACAGACTGCTGCTGACATTTGATGTCAAACAGGGGTCCTGCAGGCTTCTTGTGGTGTTGGGCCAGCAGCCTCCTGTTCCAAGGGACAGTCCTGTAAACCACGTCTCCTTCTGCCTTCATGACAAACACCAGGCCGGTCACACTGCACTGGTACAGGCCTGCACTGGAGCACTGGAACAGGTAAGCTTCATCATCAGACTCATCAGCAGTGATGATAGGTGTAAACTCTTCAAAGCAGCTTTGTGGCTTCATGTCAGGTGAACAGGTTGCTTGTGTTAAATCCGTCCTTCGTTGTGTTGTGGTCAGTGACTGACGCCGATCTTTGTTCTGGATCATTGCATTATATGTAATAGCACCAGTATGTTTGATTTCTTCTAGGCTTTCCTTCCCATTAACACTCTGACTGTTAGATTGTGTGTTTATTGGTACAGAAGTCTGTCCATTAAGCTTTTTCTTTTCCTTCAGTGGTGCGTCTCCTGCATCAAAGCAGTGCAGATGTTTCTGTCTGCGTTTCATCCTGCCTTGTTTGCATCTGTGAAACATTAAAAACAAACTCTTCATTACAACACTTTTCACTCTCAACTCTTATAAAACATTTTGAAACAGTGTGATCTCAGATTTGTTTTAAAAGAGATCATGACAGAAATTATTAAAAACTCTGTGTGCTGCTAGTTTGTTCTCAGCATATGTAACTTTTTTAAATAAAGGAATTTGGCAAATAATAATAATAATCACAAGATTATTACAAGTTAAACGCTTTCAGCCAAAATTAAATGCATAGTATTCACACAAGTGCAATTAATAGGTCTGTTTTCTATCTAGGCTGGGGACTAGCAGTGCAGTATTGCATTTCTAATTTGACCTTTTCTTATGAAAACTGACATCAGAATAAACTCGATAAACTGGATAAACTATGTAAACTTATCTAGTTTTACATAAACCTACATGCATTAAAGACAGAAAAAAAGAGATCTCACCTACCCAGTAACTTGTCCGTCGTTTTCTTATAACTGAATCTTGTAGACAGGTTGTCATGTCTTTTTATTCCAATCTGTCGTGTGACTCCTTCCTCTTTCCCAGCCGACTGTGATGTCATTTAGGGGTTTCATAAGTGGCAGCCTACCACAGTGATTAAGTGTGCAAAACTAAATAATTGCCAATAAGTGCAGAGATTTAAAAATGTGATTTTCAGCTGATGGTGTTTAGACAATGACCAGGGGTTCGAAAGCATCTCTCACGTAACAGGTACTTATACAATATGATGGCTAAATCCACAAAAAGCAGTAAACCTTAGAACCATCCACAGCAGGTCATCTGATCACAGTCTGTGTGCTCAGAAAACCTACTACAGCTACTACAGCTGAGTGATTCCAACAGCTGGAATCGAACTTGGGGTTCTCCCACGAGTCCAAGCACTCAAATAATCTACAATAATGTCCCTGTAATGGACCGATGACGGCAGCAATGTTATATTACTCACTTCTCTCATAAGGGAATCTGATATAGCTTCTCTTTAATTGCTCATTAAAAACTGAAACTTTTTTTAAAGGACTTTATTATTAAGACTTTGTTAAAGATCTTACAGAGAAAGGTGTCATAGGTCATAGATAAGACAGGTGTAGCTGGTAAACTTTAAGTGGAGAATGAGTGTCTCATCTTGTTTGCATGAAACTCACTACGATCAGCATCTTTCAGCATCTGTTGATTGTTTCTGGGGCTCAAAGCTACGTGCATCGCACACGCAGGGTCCTGCAGGACGTCGTTCTGCTTCTCTGATGATTTATTTAGTTGGATGATCGAATAGAGAACACAAGAAGATTAAAGGTGGAGGAAAGAGGGAGAGACTTCAAAGGAAAACGGTGCTGCACCCGGGAAAACAATAATTTCAAATGTACAGTTCAAAAACAAAATTTTTTATTTGCATTTAGATTTTTCTTCTTTTTGATTAACATCTGAGTTTTAAACAAACAAGTGCTTATGTTGTGGTTATTTGTGGCCTGAACATTTCTTTACTTATTTAAACCACGTCCTCTTTTTTGAGGCGATGCCATTTACCCATTTGTGGTGCAG